TTTTTTTTCAGGTTTCTTTGAGACTCATGCGCATTGGGTTATATTTAGCTCATTTACAAAATTATAAATGGCTTTAAGTTAATATTGTTTGATCACTTAATCAACACAATTAAGTATTTATTTACATTCGTTAATCAAGAATGACCTTTTTAACCACCGATTTCGTAAGAAAGTTGGGCCGAGCGAGGCAAGCATACAATACAGTTTTCTCCGTTCGTTTAAATAAGAGGGATTGAAAAATCTGCTTGCTTGATGTCCAAAGGACCTGATTTTGTCAATGAAAATCCCTTTAAATTATGCCCCAGCCTGTAAGACTGTTACAATAAAAAAACGCCATATTCATTGCATTTATTGTATTTGAGTGGTCACAAGCGTAGGAGTGGTGCCAAATATCAGTGTAAACAATGTGGCCTCAAGAAGGAGGAAAGGAGGTCTGTAGAAAGGCGGGGTACTTCAGCTTTTATTTGAAGGCGCTGGAGATATGGGTCGCCTAGGATTCGGCGTAAAATAGACCTAAGAAGTGAACATTTTCTCAGAACTAACCATCAGAACACATATTTCAGCTTGTTTACCAATAAGACATACCAAAACATTTCGAAGTAAAAAATAGCAACACAATGTATTTGGGCTTACCAGCAAAGCACCCAGTAAGGTAGCAAGCGATATTTCCGCCAACCATTCCACCCAGTATCATCTCGGACAACTCCTTACGGCGTTGCGGCACTAAAGTTACCAAGGAACCCAACATGATGCCAATCGATCCGACGTTTGCAAAACCACAAAGCGCATATGTGGTAATAACTTCAGCTCGATTGGTCTAAGAAAAATAAAAAAAATAATTAAAACTGTTTTAACCCATCTTTTTTAATTGTTGTAGGGTGTCTTTTCTGCTGGAACTCACGTATAACACTCCGAAAGGCAGAGCAACCGTGGTTCCATTATTGAGGGTCATATTCATTCCGCCATTTGGCAGGTAGACAATAGTAGCGTTATCTTTGTACTCCCGGAACAGTTCACTGTCTTTCATTATATGTCCTAAAATAATGTTAGAAGTAGACGAAACGACAGTTTAAAGTTAAAAAGAGAAATAATAAACCTTATACTTTATGGCACCAACGGGGGCT